GCAGGAATGTCTGTAGTTGTTCTGACATGGTTTTACTGTGACACCATGTAGCTGCACTGGCTGCTGGCATGGAAAGTTTTACTGAGCTTTTTTTCGGTGCCTATGTTTAAATTCAGATGGGCCCCTGGCTTTTTTTCCTGCACAGCCCATGTTTGGTAATAAATAAGCAGTGCCTGAAAGAATCATACCATGCTGGTGCGGGAACACCATAGGATACATATGTGTTTGCATCCATGTGTGTGACGAGCAAACTAAATAGGACATTGTGTTACACAACTAACCCCTTCCTGACATTGCTGAGGCTGGAGTGGCGCCAAGTCTTGCCGGCGCTCCAGCTCCTCTTGGTTATCTAGGTCACAGCCTCTGAGGAGAAGAACCTCAACGGCAGCAGTCCTGCATGACGCGCTTCACTCTCCTGTCTGTCTGAATCTCCCTGCATACTCTTGACAAAACCTCAACACTGGCCCTGGTCGAATAAGGGAGAGAGGGAGGGAGGAAGGGGATTGCAGGAGGCACGACAGTGGGGGAAAACATTAAAGATAAAGGGACAGCATATGTGGAACAGTTGTAGGAACACTCGTGGCGGACACATGGAAATGGCAACACAGGATTACATTTGTACAATACGCTAACTGTAGTAACATAGCCCACCCAACCAACAGTCACAACGATGGGGGAGAAAAAAGCAGCCTTCCACTGAATCCAGTCCTTGCTGGTAGAAGGTGATAGAATGGAGATAGTGGGGGAGGGCTAAGCCAGTACTCTCCATCCAGCAGTTATTGGAAAACAGTGTGAGTGAAGCTCAGTACTGAAATTAGTTATTGATCTATTCTCTGCCTGAAGCCCATGGGTCTTTCCCACCACACCTGCTCATTCTCTCATAGTCTTTTCTTTCGCTGCAACTCACCGCATCTTTCTACCTTTGCTTTGAGCCCATTTTGTGGTTTGTTTTCTCTCTTTCTCTCAAATGATCTTTTCATAAGCAGAAGTTAGTGTGGAATGAGAGTCTGATAATGTGATATCCACAAGAAAGTTTGAAAACTAAAATTTGAATGCATTTTGGAGGGCTTGCAAACAGCTCACTTTTATATGCCTCATTATCTACAAAGTGAAGACAGCTATTCCAAAGATGATTTACAGCACCTGCTGTTTCTTATAAATTTAGATAAAAAATGCCTTAATTTGAAATTCTCTGGAATTTTCACAAATTAATACTGTTTTTTGTTTAATTTTGTTTTATGTCCGGTGCTGTTGGCTGAGATCCTGGTCTCGCCCTATCCTTTTCATCAACAGCCATGTCACCAACTGAAAGACACTGTTGTCTATTTCAGGCCTTTTCTTCCATAGAGCACAGCCTGTGCAGAATGTGCATCTTTCACTAGACATTGTCTAGACATGGGATAATTGCAGACATTGCTGAATACTCAGCTGCTGCCTGAAGCCTCATGGGAGTTGAGGTGGACTTTTCAGGGAAATGGACAGAAGTCAGTGAGGGGGGTCACACTGTTTCCCTATACATCTGCTTACTGTATGTGTTTGCTGGTGTGCAGGCAAGCTTGGATTTAGCCATGTGTGGGAGAAAGAAAAAGAAAGCACAAAAGAGCGTAGACATTGAAACACACAGTGTTCATAACCACAGATGGGGTGATTTCATCAGAAAAAAATGTTACCCGGCCTATTGCTCTGCTAGTGTTGATGGAGCTCGCCAAATTTAATGGTTGTTAATACCTAAATGTTAAGTTAATTCTCACTGGAACATATTCTGTCTTTATGTTGGCTTTCATACAGCATTTTATATCTCCTGTAAGACTACTGTTTTTTTGGCTGAGACACCTTTAAATGTGGAGCTTTAGCTGGGTGCAGGGATATGTGTGTGTTGAGGGGGGTGTTGGTTGGCTTCTGAGAGATGGTCGCAGGTCGCTGGGTTCACCTAGGGCATAGGACTAATCTTAGTGGGGGTGGATTGGATGCAGGATAACTAAATCCTGTTGGGGCAGGCAACCTTCTCATTCTGCTCCAGGTGTTGGTTTCTCCTTTAGGCCAACACACATTGACTGTTGTGCTCACTAGCCTCTATAGTTTTATTTAGCTTAATGCTATAAGAATAGATTTAGTAGGTTTTGTATGTTTATTTTTTGTTTGTTTTCTAGATTCCATTTGGGGTAAAATGTAAGGATTTAAATTGATTACCTGACAGAAAATAGAAACAAATTTTCCACAACTTCTCTACTTTTGTGTCCAGTTTATCCATCTCCTAGAATTCATTTTGCTTAGACGCTAGTCCAAAATATGTCGATGGTTTCTTTTAAAGCGTACGTGTCCTAGTTTTTCAAATCTCTAACCAGTAAAGTAACCAAACAGCTACACACAAGTATTAACACAAATCTGTCTTTGTTCTTCAAGGGGGAGTACTTTGAAAGTGTAGCACACCAAAAAGTTACAGTTCCATTCTCCAACTCCTGTTTTAGAAGCATACAAACCCACCACCCTCTACATTTCTACAACTGACGCCATTTCACAGAAATTCCAGACAACTGGCGCCTGAGCTCTGCCTCCAAGAAGGACATGATGAATAGGACACACCCTTGGTATGCTAGTGAATGGCAGAATATATGGCATACTGCAGTAATACAGCCCCTCATCCTAGCTCCTAGCTCTTTTTAGTCTTGTTTTTTCTGCTTCTCCCCTCCTTGCGTTTCATGCTGCTCGCCTATTTTTAAAAGCCTGAATTTGAGTGAAATGCACTGAGGCACCAGTAAGGCGAGCTACAGCTCTTTCCAGCACTGGTTCCTGATCCTCCTCTTTGTTGTGGTCTATGCATGCCTGCTCTAGTCACATGACTGCGTTTCTATGGCAACTCGGGTTTGAGTAATCATTTGCGTTACGACCTTTATTCCCTTGAGGACAGGGGAGGGGGAGGATAGACTGAGCCTGTAGAAAGAGAGCGCAAGAGGAAAGAGAAAAGACGGGCAGAAGGGGAGCGGCGGAGAGGCACAGGGAAGGAAAATAGGCAAGAACAACGGCTGCCTTTTCTTGCCTTTATATTCTGTATTTTATCTTTTGCTCTTCGTGCCTGTCTCTACCTCACCATATTCAGTATTTGGAAAAAAAATGACAAACGCCTGCCACTAAACACTGGGTTGTGAGCTTCTGTTTCACTGTAGTATCATTTGTGTTGTGACTCACTCAGTGACTAGGGCAAGCGGGTTTGGTTTGGAGAGGCAGGCATGTATGTTTCATAGGGGTTCACATACCCCCCACCAGCACACACACACACACACACACACACACACACCTCCCCTTCATTTCTTCTCAGAGGAGAAGCAGTTCTGTGCCACATGTGCAAGTCTCAGCAGAAACAGATTCTGTATGTTCCTGTTTCTTGCTCTCCTGGCTGCGTTGTCATGGTTACCGAGCTAGTCCACCAAGGCATGCAGCTCCTCTCTCTCTCTCTCTCTCTCTCCACCGTTGGGTGATTCAACCCATCAGTTGGGTTGTGTCATCTCCTAGATGGAGTTTCTAGCTCCCACATCACCTAAATGGAGTTTTCAGGTTCAGTCTTGTATTCCAATTGGATTCTAGTTTGAGAAAATGGAATAATTGTGTGTGTGGGTGGGGTAAATGGGTGGAATTTGTGGGTGCCTTCTACCGGTAGTGAGGGGATCCAGCATTGACAGGAGGTGGGCTCAGCTGGGGGGCTAGTGATAGACATGAAGGGGGTTGTGTGGTGGTTGTGGTGCTGCTGCTACTGCTGGCTGATTTCAGGTGCCTGTGACTGGGGCTGAATATGAATGAGGGGCCCCGGTTCTCCAGAGATAGCGGCTAGGGAGAGAACTGCTAAAACCAGAGACCAGTGGAGCCTGCTGGTTGAGAGGCCCCCACAAGCTGCTGACAGGAGCTGGAGCTAGCCATCACGTTAATTAGCGTTTTTACTCTAGCAGTGGTGGATAGGGGGAGTGGGTTAGAGAGGGATGTGGGGGTGGTATATGACTCATAGACACAGTATGGTTTATTCATGATGGAGGAAGGGGAGGTATGTGTGTGTGAGAGAGAGAGAGAAAGAGAGAGAGAGAGAGAGAGAGAGGAAACAGTTGATTTGCACACTGTGTGTGTCTTAGTAGATCACTGATTGGCACCAAGCCAAGATATTATTATGTCTCGAACATAATACCAGGCATTCATTGTTATTTTCTTCTTTAATTCAACAATATCCATGTAAAATGAATTCCTGATGTTTGAAACCAGATCTTTCCTGCAGTGATTTTGTGACACATTGTTGATTTACTTCTGTTTCTACTGAGACAGTATCGATCACAGGCTTTTGAGGCCTGTCTGGGAAGCATCAGACTGATGAAATGAGTTAAGGGTGCCTTTCTCATAGGTGACCTGACCTTGTCTCCACTGCCTCAGCCCCTGACAGTGATCCTCAGCCCCTGGAGGAATGCATAGGATCAATAGATTGGTGTTTTACCCAAGCAAATCACCCAGGACTCCCCCTCCAGGTCGAGCA